TACTCTACCCTGCCCTCCCCTACCATTTTTCCCAAGGACATGCCTCATTTACAGCCTTAACAGCCCACCCCGTGACCCAGGCTGGCAATGCTGGTATTATTCTTTGACTCCTTTTGCTTACTACCTACATATTGTCACTCAGCATCACCTCTTTTGGTGAGAAGATTCCTAATTTAGCCATTTTGATTTGTTGTGATTTTGAAGGAATTGTAAATGGTGGTTTTTACACTGGTCCCTTGCCTCTGGTCATGTTCCCACACAATCAGATTGCAGCCCAAAGGATCAGTTCAAATTCTCATTTGCTGTTGCTAATTTCTGATAAAATCTTGCCATACTAAAAACATTGTTTTCGTTTTAACTTCCATGGATTCACAAATGCACAAACTCCTTAAATTAGCTTTGGAGTCCCTTTGCAATTTAGCATCTCTTTCCCATCCCTGTGACTCTCACACCCCATTCCATGTCATACCCTATGACAGCCAGCTGGCTCTGGCCAGCCCCAGTGGCTCTGAATTTGCAGTTACCCCTGAACATTCCAGCTGTCCCAACTCTTCACACCAAACTTGTTATCTACAGCACTCTTTCCATTTCCCCTTTTGTGCCTTCCGGTCTCAACTTAGGTAGTGCTCAGCAGTCGAATTTAACCACACTGTGGGAAAGAGCTGTCTTCTGCCTCCTGCCCAGTCAGACTTTGAGTTTCTTTAAAAGTAGAGACTCTGTCATGTATTACCAGCACCTATGCATTTCCTAGCACATTGTAGGCACTCATTCATTATTTTATAAATAATTGATAAAAAGTGGAATTTTCACCTAAGACCAGCATTTCGAGGATTATCAATGTAATTTGTAAAGGTGACACTTTAAAATACAACATGCTTTATCAACTATGATTCATTTAAAACCCTTAATGCCTAGGAGCACATTTTTCTTTCTATGTGAAAACTCCCCTTCAACAAAGGAAAACACTACCTGGTGTTCAAATTTCTTTTTTTTTATGCTTTTTTTTTTTCAACTTAAGTCCATTCTCCCACCTCATAATTGAGTAAACTACCAATGCAATAATGTTTAAAAAAAAAAATCACCTCAGTCTTTCTGGAAATATTAGCTGCCATAATGTTGAAACTTCACTGAAATTCTATATCCAGATAAAATATCTAAAAGTACTAAAACATAGTTTCCTGAACAGAACATAGTAGAATCTTAAAAAATCAGTTGTCCTAAGATTTCAGAACAATAATGCATTAATTCAACAAACATTTGAACACCTGTTATATATTTAGCACTACGTTAAGCAATTATAACATAGCAATGAATTTTAAATTAATTCCTCCTTCAGTAATTTTATAGATTGTATTGTATCAGGGATCAGAATATACAACAATTTTATAAGATAATAAAGAAATTGTTAAAAGTTTTTGCATACACCGCTATAGGTACACAGAAATAAGACCAATTCTTCCATAAAAGTTTTACAGAGGGATAAGTATTTTTAGCTAAATCCTACAATTACAAGCCACTGTTCATTAGGAAAAGAGACAAGAAGTAGTAGCATATACAAAGGCCCACGGGTAAAGATGATCATGGTAGTTTCTGGAAATGGCAGACAGGTAAACTGAAAAGCAATAAGCAATATGAGGCAGTTGAGTAGAAACATGTAGGGTAGGAAGTTGACCCAGAATGCCTACTGCCAGAAGTGGCTTAAGCAAAGACAAACCCAAGGGTTTCTGTAGCACAAAAGAAAGTAAGTAGCAAATGAAACCATCTTTGAAAATTATTTAAGTCCATCTTTCAAGATTATCTTCTCAAAGAAAGTCTTTTAGGTATTCAATTTCTGCAAGATTCAAGTCTGTTCTACTAAATGAAGTTCAGATGACTCCTTTAAAGAAAATACTTGTTATTTAAGGCAATAGTAAACTATTTCTTCAGGTGGTCTGTGGTCTTGGCAGGCACTTCCTTGTGAGCCTGCTGTACTCCTTATTTTATGTGATACTGACAACAAGCAATTGTTTGTTCATCTAGAATCTTGGTCTTCACTCTGTCTCATACAGCAAGAACAGGCAGATTTCTGAAAGTCTTCTCCCTGTTCTTGGTGTTGCCAGCATTCTTTTGATGCTAGCTATTGCTCAGTTTAAAGATTAATTTTAACCTGAGAGATGGTTTCGCTCATAGCAGGAGTATAATAGCAGGCGAGAAAATATTTAAGAATAATGAACAGTCATATACCAGAGACATTCTGTGGTGGTGGAGTGGGGAATGGGATCAAAGATGGGGGTGGGGGAGGAGGGAAGTGCATGGGACTATGGTGATGGCACACAGGTGACTCAGTGATGGGCAACCCACGGGGATTATAACTGAGATGAAAAAAAAAATGTACAGAATGATGTAAAAATAAACTATTATAAAGAAAAAAAATTAACCTGAGAACTACAACTTAGAAAAGCAATTCTCAACCCTTTTTGTCTTAAAGCCATTTTGCATTCTTAAAAACTATTGAGGATGCCAAAGATCTTTTATTTATGAAGGCTATATTGATCTATACTTAACATATTAGAATTTAAGATTAAGAAAAAGGTAAGGTAGCTATTCATTCTTACAAGGTAGCAATTAAAAAACCCACTGTGGCCCTCCCTCTACAAAGCCACTGCAGCACGAGTTCAATTCCTGGCCAGGTAGCTGACCCACATGGCGCAGCAGACCTCTCCTGACCCACCCGCTGCTCCCCTCAGCAGTGTACCTTGCCAATATGCCTGTTCTGCTCCCCACTCTGTCTCTGGTGAATCTTCTCACCCACCACACCTCTGGCCTGTACCCCAATTCTGTAAGTATTAAAAAAAACCACTACATGTTAACATAAATCAATTTAATAAATAGTAACAACTTTTTTTTTTTTAATTTATTTATTTGTGCATACAGAACTGGGGTATAGGCCAGAGGTTCAGGAGCTGCAAGAGACTTCACCAGAGACAGAGTGGGGAACAGAACAGGCAGATCGACGAAGTACACTGCTGAGGGGAGCAGCGGGCGGGTCAGGAGAGGTCTGCCACGCCATGTGGTCCCTTCCGGGGCAGGCGGGAATCGAACTCATGCGGAAGCGGCTTTAGATTCTCAGTGCTGTGCTTTAACCTGCTGCGCCACCAGGGAGGGCCCTAAATAGTAACAACTTTTAACAAAAGAGGAGCTATGAAAAATAATCCTATTTTCCAAAACAAATAATTTAGTGGGAAAAGTACCTTTTTTCATATTTTTCAAATCTCTAATTCTGACATAATAAAAGGCATCTGGATTTTCGCATCTGCTTCTGAATTCATTCTGTGTAGCATACGGAAAACTCATGAGAGAATGGTAGTGAAAAACATAGTTACCTCTCGAAATTATTATGAAAATAATTTAAACATCGCATACCTTGAATGTGGTTCTGGGGGACCTTTGGTCCTCATGACATTTTAAGATCCTCTGACTTGTTAAAATATGGCATTGAAAGATGAGAACTGAGGGTTTATAAAAGTGAACAGAGAGCATTTATTTAAGCAAAAGCCACTGTGCTGGTGACTACAGTAGACCTGTAAAGCATGTGTGACCACTCTTTGATAGACTGGTGGGAAAACCAAAAACAACTTATATGGTCCACTAATTTGCCATTAAAATCAATTTTGATCAATTTCTGAATATTCAAAAATTCCTTTCTTCAAAGGAAAACAAACCCAACCTCACTTTGACCAGAAAATGGGATGTTTAACAGCTAGCAAATAAATCACCAATTAAGTAACACAAGAAAAACACTGGAGGCTTCATGCTTCCTGGCACTATGGATGACCTTGAGGAAGTCACAACTTTTCTGCTCTCAGTCTCTGGACCAATAAAAGGGCTGACTGCCCTCTGAAGATAAGTTGAGATAGGGCTTGTTATTTAGCCCCCTACAAAAGTTATCATGATGATAGTGTTATTATAAAACTGGTCTTAGTACACACAAACCTTCCCCTTATTTAAATGAGGAGTTGCCCCTCTATCCTTTCCTCTTGTGTAGGCCTCTAAATTTTTTCCTATTCAATTCCAGCAAACTGTCCATGCTGCGGCCCAGTAGAGCATACGGTCTGAACTCTGAGATTCCCATGGCCACACACAATTATTCTAATGCCTCGTCTGTCATGTTGACCTTGTATACAAAAGGAGAAGATACACTGTCAAAAGCAAGTTCAGGAGAAAGCATAATCAAGCTTCAGCTTCCGTTGCTCCAACTCCCCAAGGAAATCTCTAGCAGTGTTAAGCCACAAATTAGTGTAGCTAAGAATGATTATAAACGGGACATGAGGCTGAAGCTTAAGCAGCTCCCATTAGCATATCATAACCAAGGTCACAGCCATCAGAGACATGATTGATGGTGAAGCGCATTTGCCTTGGTTCTGGGTCCAAACATACTTCTTAAGTTGTACAATACTGTTTGGACAAAGATGGGGAATGAATTATACATCTGACGTACCCATGAGCTAGAAAAAACTCCAAAGGGCAGGAAATATCAGTGAAAAGTCACTGAAAGGAAAAAGCGACCAGAAGGAACTTGGCTAAATTGGGTAACCAGAGTAGAAGATTAAACATTGGCATATTTAGAAATTTCCAGTCCCAAGTTAATAAAATTAGGGTCATGTGAATTCTCCGTGTGTTTACTAACCCACCCAGCTCCCTCCTAGAAGAGAATGAAAATTTGCGTAGGGAATGAAAAATAATTCTCTATGAGTAAAATATTTGAATTTCACTTCAAGTAAGACTTCTGGAGAGAAATTTCAACTCAAATGTATTCTAGGATAATCTAATCAAGTCAAATCCTATTAAACAGATAAAATTCCGAAATACAATTTCTTCCCCCCTTTTCCAAATATAGATATGACAAGCTTCTTGTGTTCCATTCAAACAACTACCAAAATGTGTAAAATATTCATTTTCTAAAAAAAATTCTAGTGGGGTTTTACATAAGTATATTTGTCTCCCTCTTCCTTCCTGTCCAGCTCTGAAGGCCTCACCTTCTAAGAAGCGGTGCAGCTCTATTACCGCCCTGAAAGCAACCTCACAGGAGATTGTGTCCTCAATCAGCCAGGAATGGAAGGACGAAAAGCGTGATTTACTGACCGAAGGGCAAAGCTTTAGTAGCCTTGATGAAGAAGGTAAAGGCTTGTAACTTAAGAAAAACAAAAAATACACCTTATAGTTTTCATTTATATAGCCATGTAAATGTTAATAATAAGAAGAAAATACCTGCTTTAAGAAATAACATCTATTAAGTTTTAAGAGAATACTTAAAAAAATTTTTATGGTATGACACATGCAATATAAAAGTTTAAAAACACATCAACAATATAATATATGGTTTGTGGTAAAAGAAAACTAGAAGATACTAAAATATTTGAAAGAAAGTATCTATAATCCCACTTTATAAAGGTTTACAAATCTTAAAATTTTGGTGTTTTTACTCTTAGACCTTAATCTATGTATTCACTCAGACATACATATATTGCATATTTATACACATGCACACTACTTATACACAGCTCTATAATGTTAACAATAATTAATCAATTTGTTTAGACCTTCCATAATGAATTTAACAAGTTTTTTTCCTATTGCCATATCATATATACCTACTTTTTGTTAGATTTATCCTTTGAATGAATATAGAAATAAAGACAGATATACTTTTATGTATTGTTCAAACACTCTTCCTAAGACTTGGGTTTTTTGGCTCTGTTGCAACTGCACAAACCTCACATCTTTGTGCTTTCTTACTTGCTGGCTGTGACTTTTGGTACAATGATGAATAGAAGTGGTGATTGTGGGCAGCCTTGCCTTGTTCTGAATTTAAAGGGACTGTTTCTAATGTTTCACTATTGAGGAAGAAATTTGCTACTTTTGATATCCATGATCAAGTCCAGGAAGTTCCTTTTTATCTCTAGTTTACTAAAATTTTTTATCAAAATGCATATTGAATTTTATCAAATTCCTTTCTCTATTCCATTGATCAGTTGGTTTTTTTCCTTCTAATCCTGTGATCTTTTAGATTTTATCAGTGTAATCATTTTTGAAACCCAGCACTTCCTTAAATTTCTTCTATTCCTTACAGAAGATTAGATCTCTTCCCTGAATTTTGAATATTCTGTTTTTCTAAGGAAGGATGGTTCTTATATAAGTATTTTCATAGGCACTTACAAAGAATAAATGAGAGTTTCCTCATTTTTTTTAAAGGCAGTCTTGCTGTTAAATGTCAAGAGCCATGGATCCTGTTCAAAGACATGTGGCTCAGAAGGGATTAAAGTGTAGTGTTGAAGCAGTTGTTTCCTGGCTCTTAAAAAGTCTAAGTTCTTAGATGTCAATTGAGAGTCCCCAATCATGCATATCCTACAGAGGGGAAGGTGGATTCCTGTCTGTTTATACATTTGCCAATCATCCTTTTAATTTCCATCAAATTATCTCCTTAAAGCTCCTAGGAGCTTTTGTACCATCTTTTGAAACAGTAAAACACTTATCAGGTTTTTAAAGGAACATGCATAATGTAATTTCCGTAAGCCATTTTGTAAATTAATGCAATTTTCTTTCTGTTTAACCTGTTTATAAAAGCTATTTTACATGTCTGCTTAGTTCAAAAGAGTAAATTAATTCATAACTTAATTTGCAGCCTTATATGTCATATGAATGCTTTTGAGTCATTTAAATTATGGTAGGTCCTGAGGCAGCATATCCTGCTAAGATTCAGGAGCATGTGTGTTGGTTTCGTTACCCAGCCCTGGGATCCCGACACAGACCGGACCTGGTGCCTAGCACACCATCACTGTTTGAAGCTGCTTCCCTGGCGACCACCATTTCTTCATCTTCTTTATATGTCAACGAACATTATCCACATGACAGAGCTACGCTTTATTCAAACAGGTAAGACAGCACCATTAAATTACCAGCCTCTGTTACCATATCAACTTCACAGCTGCACAGCATCTCCAGATGAGGACGTGCCGTCCCTATCAACCAGGACGTGCTTTGTCACCTGCCCTGTAAGTAAAAGAGAGCGAACATGCTTGATATCGATTGTGGTATGCAGTACACTATCTGATTTTTACTTACAGTTGATATTATAGCCTACAGACATTATATACTTGCTTCTGTGGAAGAAAACAAATTTTCCTTACATTTATTTCAACAATTTCTTATGGGTGGATTTTTTTTCGGCAAGAATTCTTGGTTAATATTGCGCAGGTAGCTGCAAAGACATATTAATATTCACTTTCTGGATGACTGACTGTAGTGACTATGGTAAAGAGAATCAATCCCTCCAAAGTTGTCCATGTCCTAGCCCAGCAACCTGTGTCTGTCTTAATTTAAATGGCAAAGGGGATATGATGAAGTGTGATGAAGTTGGGGACCCTGTGACAGCAAGAGCATCCTGAATTACCCAGCTGGGCTAACGTAATCACAGGGTCCTCCCAAGGGAAGTCTGCTGGCTCAGAGTCAGAGGTGGTGATGTAATGCCCAAAGTGGAAATTAGAGAGAGATCTGAAAACACGACGCTGTGAGGGTAGCTTTGAAGGCAGAGAAAGGGGACATGAGCCAAGGAAGACTAAGTGAAAATAAATAAATAAAAGGGGAGGGAACAAGAAAATAGATTTTTCCCTGTCTCCTGTCTCCACAAAGGAACACAACTCTTCCAACCCCTTGAGTTTTAGGGCTTCTTACCACCAGAGTGATAAAACATTTGTGTTGTTTTAAGCCATAAAGTTTACAGTGACTTGTGACAGTAGCAACAGTAAGCTAATACAGTGACTCCAACGTTTAACATGAATTTGAGTATTGGCCTTAGTTATCTTAAATGGAAATTTAATGAGGTGTTCGTCATTTTTCCTCTTTTAAATGTTTGATACCATTCACTTCGGTGATTGATTATGCTATCATCTTTATTAGGAAATAAACATTGTTGGAAAATTTTTAGAAATTTTTTTTCTAAAATGGCATAATATTACAATGGCTACCATACCACTAGGCGGTAAGAAATTTGGGGACCACTCTAGTGCTTGTGGTCCATCATTGACCAGAAGCTCATTGTGCAGTGCATATACCGTAAGCCATTTTCTACCTAATGCTCACAGCTTGAATCAGTTCAGAAAGAAGACTCAATATTGTCAGTTCATTTTTGCTGTATGCATTTTCACAGGTTAGTAATGAGGCAAGGCTGCATTTGGTAACCAGACCTGCAGTAGTCATCTTGTTTTGTTACTGTTCTCTCTCAGCTAAATACAAGATGAGGTAGGAGCAGGTGAGACAGCCCCTATAGGTTAAAAGGAGAGGGACAAATAACAAGGTGAACCTCAGATCTTTGGTGCGGTTCATTTTGAATAGTTCCTCTCTAAGAGCCAACATAAGGCTCTGATAAAAAGCATTCAGCTCCCCTAAACTGTAAAAGCAAATTGGTTAGCTTCCTTGAATTATAAAATCTTAAAGTGACTTATACCTAAATTAACATAAATAACACCTTGAATGTTCACATTTTTTATGTAAATTACTCAAGCAATGGTTTTTCCTATCTACTGTACTGCTAAGCACAGCTCTTTCGCTCTCAAGTATAAATAGCAGCAAAAAAGAAGACTGGAAAGTCACAGGAAGTTCTTTGCAAGGTCAAAAACAACTCTCATGTGAGGCTGTGGTTATTTCTTCCAATTTACTGCTGTTCTAATAGTCAGGGGCCTGGATGTGCTACTAAGTATTCACGGAAGTTTTCAGCATAAAAATGCAAGTGTGGTTTTTCTTTATTTTTTCGGTGACTGTCATTGTGCTGATTAAATATCAGATCCCTTGGCCAGGGGTATTCAAATCTTGGGTGTTCATAAAGTTTCTCCAGGGTCTGGCACTGACTCCGTCCTTTCCAGACAGCTTGGGAGCCTCCCCTGGATTGTGGTATTGTTCTCATTCTTGATGATTTTATTTATGCTAACACTGCTTATCATCTCTATGGATGAAGGGGAAATAGTTTAATTTCTGGTCCTTTCCTTTTTTTTTTTTTTAAGTGAATGTTTTAAAGAACTCTCTTTGGCAGTCCATCTCCAAGTTGCAATTTAAATGTCTTATGTTTAGCTATCAATATACTTAAATTAGCTGTCAATCCAGATTCAATTATAAGAATAAGACACTATCTCTTTTTTTTTAAAGATTTACTTATTTATGCATACAGAACTGGGGTACAGACCAGAGATGCAGGGGCAGTGAGAGGATTCACCTGAGCAGAACAGGCAGATGGATGAAGAACACTGTTGAGGGGAGCAGTGGGTGGTCAGGAGAGTTCTGCAGGGCTCCATGTGGATCATCTTGGGGGGGGGAGCGGGGAGGGGAATGGTGGGGTGATGTGGATAGGCACTGAAGTGGCTAGGCTCAGGCTCCCTTTCAGGGCTGTGCTTCAACCCACTGCGCCACCAGGGAGGACAGGAATAAGACACTGTCTTCAACAGAAAGGGATTTGATACAGGGAATTAGGTGCTGCCAAAGCCAAGGGACTGGGCTCTGGCTGGATGTTAGGAAATCCCTGTAGGTCTTCCCTCTGAATTGGCCCTCCTGCAGCCCCACGACCAAGTGGGTACCCTGCCAACAGAAACAACTAGGAGAAAAGCATTTTGGTGAACCCAGAAAGTCCCTAAAATAAGCGAACATTTAAAAATCAAGCAATTTCACTAAAATATCCAGAATCTTTTGAAAATTCTGACACCACTCTGGTCTATTTTCCTCCTGGTGTTTTTCAGCTGGAGAGAACAGCTGGCCCCTTTCCTTCCTTCTTTCGTGTATGGTCCTCATCAGATGCCCCGGAAGTAAAGCTTTGCCTCCTATTTTAACCACTGCTTTAAGACTAGGAAATCACAAGGAAAAGAGGCTAAAAAACCCAGAAGAAAGATTAATAGCATGAGAACTCCTGGGAATCAATATCCTTATTTCCCCCACCCACTATACCCAATTCTGATTATTCAACAGGGAAACCTTACCAGCAAACTGGCAAGAAATTGACCTACCTTTTTCCCCTTTAGAGCTATCCTAATCTGACATGGTGTTTCTTGAGACAATAGACAATATTCTGCTCTCATCTGGTCTACTAAGTTTTATAAACTAATCCACAGAGCATAGGGCCAAAAATGCATTGAATGTAGATGTTATGTTTACACTAGATTTTTCTCTTTATCTATGAATCTTTTTTCTGTTTTAGTCACAACCTTTCCAGAAATCACCACTTAAGTTTTTAGATATGCAAATAGGAGCCATCTCCAACAAGGTTAGAGATCCATTATCTTGCAGATTTGTCTAAAATAAGGAAAGAGAATGCAAGGTACAACATTAGAAGACATATTGGAGGCCAGTAGGTATACTAAAGGGGTTTAACAGAGTAGAACAAGCCTCAAGTTCTTTCTCTGGCACCACCCTGTCACTGTGACCTCCAAAGACCTCTGTTCAAATGCTTTTGTGTGCTATGTGTGGAAATTTGCTTGACTGTTTTTTGCCTAATGTGAATCCTGGCTCTGTGTGTGAACCTGTTTTTAGCTGCTTTATAAAATATTTCCAATAAGCATAGTGAAGGGCTTTTGCTAATCTACTAGTAGTGTTTATTCTAGAAGCCACTGACAAATTTTGCTTGTTAAAAATTATTGGCTCTGAACTGAGATTGGAAAAAGGCACAAAATAATGTAAAGATAAACTATTATATTATTTAAAAAAATTATTGGCTCTGGGAATGTTTCTGTCATAGTACTATAGTCTTCCTTCAAGCCACCAGTAATAATAAGTATAATAATAGCTAAGTATAAGTATATAAGTATAATAATAGCGCATTATACCCTTATCTAGGGTCTGTATTAAATGCTTTACCTGTAACAGATTGTTTAATTCTCACAGCACTCTGTAGGTTTTATCCAGTTTACAATGCAGAACGCTTATCATTAGATAACTTGTCCAAGGTCAGTGGTTAAAGTTGGGCCTTGATTTCTACCCACAGCACAATATAGCACAGAAGGCAGGAGCCTCACTTAGTCAACACTGCCCTCATTCATATTGTCACGTCTGGCCAAGATAATTTTAGATATGTTTAATGATATTTTACTAACTTCCACACAAGCTCTTTCTCCTCAGCCGCCTTGCCTTTTCTTTCCCCATGTGATTCTGAGTGGGGATTTTTCACTTTCAAAGATATTAAGGACACAGTGTTCAAACCCTAAAAATATGACACATTAATTTGAGTTCAGAAGAACCCCGAAATAGCTATTTCTCTAAGTTTTTACTTTCAACTCTCTAGTTGGACTCCTTATCATTGCATGGTCATTGAGAGAAGACTTTTGGTAGATACTTCTGCTTGATTTAGAAAATCATGTATCTTCTGTAAACTAATTTGTGGGAACTTTTATGACTGACAGAATGAAGGAAGATGCAAGAACTTCTAGGCTGTCCCACTCTAAGCTTGGCTGCCCGTGTCTGCACACCGTAGGACTTTTCCAGCCCTGCAGCGCTCCTGTTGGTGCTAAATATTGAACTGGGTCCCTTCAGACTGTGCTTTCACCCCTCTTAATCTGGTTACTTCTTCCTTGCAAACAGACCTGCCCACCGCCACGACTCCTAACCCCTACAAGGTCTTTCTCACTCACTTTCACTGTGATGAGCCACCTGAGCACGACCCTCTCGAAATGCCAGTTCAGCTGCCTAGCGCATCACTTTACCTTCAAATGCCTCAATTCCCTCCATTGTAAAATGTGGATTATGGTACTAATGCCAAAGGATTGTGATAAAGATTAACAGAAATAATAATTGGAAAGCATTCACTGTACCTCCTGGCACAATGTAAGCACCATCGAAGTATTTACGATAACCTGATGACCCCAAGCCCTGACACCTCGCAGCTGGCCCTTATGCCACTG